TGCACCCTATTAATCTTGAGCATTTTTCGACCACACCACATTTCCAAAAATCTCTAGTGTCTTTCTTTGCTCTTCAATATGGACTGTCAAAGTTTCGCAGCCATATACAACCACAATATCAGAAAACCTCGAACGTGCACGTACATTGTCTTGTTTAAAACGAAACCTACCCGAATCACTATTTGGGTCGATATAGTCTACTAATTTTCACGTACCACTTGCCACGATTATTAGGCTTTTTTTTTTTACTCATCAGAAAATGAGTAGAAAATGATAGGTACGTCATTTACACGTATAGGACTTTCAATTATTAAATCTACATAATTATTAGCATATAGTACACAAAATTACAGTTATTATTTGTATTATTATTTATGGATTGCATGGACATTCTAAGCAATAACTTTTTTTTCTCCACTTGTCAAAAGCGTACCAACAGTCGTTGGTATACAGCATCAAGGGTGAAACAGACGAGTGCCCGTACTGTTATTAAAGTAAATAATTACTTATTACTTATTTATAGTTATTCGAGTCGTAATTTCAAGGCTAAACGAGAATTATAAATCGCGTACGAGAGTTTATCTGTATACAGGTTAAAAATTGCGAATTTTTTATTTTTTAAGACCGCCCCACCCCCTTCGCGAAATCCAAAAATACGCGACCGGACCGGACCGGACTGCACGTGGGAGAGGGGGGGGGGGGGGGGTGTAAATAACGGAAATTAGACCGTCGGTTAGAAAACAACGTTGCGCGACGCCGCCACCGCGTATCCATACTGCGGGCAATACACACACGGCTCTGCCCACACGGCGTTCGCGCGGCACGTAATTCGTATCGGCGGGCGATCGCGACTTACGAACATAGTACGCATACACGAGCACGCGATCCTCCAACAACGCCTATATCATTACATACGGTCGCGCGTATGGGTGTTGGGTACCCATCACCGTCTTTCACCGATTTCAATATTTTTGTTTTTTTTTTTCTATCGATGACCTACATATACGTACATTCGGTTCGTGTACCAGAGACCCGCTACAAAAGTGAATCTTATGTGTACTTGTTTGAACAAGTTTTATCCCATAACGGCATAACCGCGAAAAATATTGTTTATATTGTTTATATTTGGAGGGACCAATTCGACTGGAAACGAATAGTTTATTTCAAATGTGAACCGATTCGGTTACACGTCTTAAAATACATCCCCCAGTGTTAGTTTTATATAGCTGTTGATGATAAATATGACTAGAAAATAATGTAAAAAATCCAAAGAAAACCGAAGTAAAACGGTTTTTATTCCCATTTATCCTTTTTGGACGACCCGAAGTCTCACTTCGACAATAACTTTAAGTTGCTCGTCGTATAGTTATTAGTGTGATAGGAGGTAATTTTTCATAACTTTAGAATGGACTAATGTTTAAAAATACTTTATTGCCTATCATGTTTTGCGCTTGCGAAATCATCTTGCCTTGAAAAACCAGAGTGTGATTTATTTTAGAAATCTAATACCGGCAATACCGTGCACACTATACGAGTAGATATACGACGTGTATTATATTAGCATTTTTGAACTATTATTTTAAAGATTTAAGATAGGTAGTTAGATGGAGTTAACTTGATTAATTACTAAAAAAAAAATATAGGCAACATCAATTCGTTTAATTTTAATAACGAGATTTAAATTTAACAATTTTAGTTCACAATGGTTAACGAATTTATATAGAAAAACAAATATTTTTTTACGCCAACAATTCAGTTGAATCGTTGAATATAAAATGTGTCAAATTGAATCGTGCGCATTCGTAGATCAATTTTTTTGTTTTTATAAAATTTTACATTTCCATTCGAGTTTTTGACGCGTATTCTAATTGAACGTCGCTAAAATATTATAATATATACTCGTATGTATGCATATTAATAAACACACTATCAAAAAATGTGTACCGTGAAAAGCGACCATTGACCGGCTGTACACTTTGTATGTTTGCTTGGCGCCTTCAAGCCCCGCCAATTTTCGCCCGTGATTATAAACCGGGTGTGTAATAGTATTAAAATCGTTCGTTTTTATTTTTTGTTTTTTGTTTTTTCCAATCTATGCGGTATCTGCACGTACCGACGCGACACGTGAAACCGCAGTGCCGCGTGTCACCGTACAATAATCGTTGTCCGACGGTTTTATTGAAATTGCAAAATCACGATCCGGGGCGCGACGCGTGAACATAGACTCTCACGACAGGTCCGGTTCGCCGGCCCCGGTTATTCTATCGGGTGTTCGTATTGTCGTCGCCCTCGTCGCCGTTTGCGAAGCCGCTCGAAACTGCGCCGGTTCGCGTACTACGTAATACTGTGCGTAAATTGTTCGGGCTTTGCGCCCGTGCCGTTGATACGGCGGAGGAGTAGAACCGAACGATCGCGCGGCGATTATTGAATAACAATAATAATAATAATAACACAACGGCGTGCAATACAATAAACGGCGTATTTCTATATATTATCGCGCCCCGCGACACGATAAGAGGGTTAACCGGCACGGGAACCGGCCTAAATGGATTAAAACGATAGCGTCCGATATCGATTTCTCGATATATCAAACTCCGGGGAGTCGTCCGCCGCGCGAGACCGGTATTTTAAACCGGGAATAAAAAAAAATAAAAAAAAAATTTTATTTTTTTTTTCCCTCGAAAAACGCCGTATTTATGTTACACAACAATAATATTATTATGTTTTCGTGGCGGCGCGACTCGTAATCAATTATCCGATATCCGTGTTAGCGTTATTATCGTTATTATTATTATTATTATTATTATTATTACTATGGCCGCGGACGTTGTTACGTGGCGCGTATCTTTTTCGTCAAAGTGGATCGGGTTTCAGAGGTCGACTTATCCGCGGGACCGCGACACAACGACGGCTTTCCGGAAGGCCGTGTACGTACGTTAATGTTACGGTCACGCGTTCGAAATTATATTTGACATTTAAACGTTTCGAGATTCCGCGGCGAATAGTCGTTTGAGAAATCGGAGGAGAAAAAAATAAATGAAAAAAAATAAAATAAAATAAAAATCACATATTATCCGATACGAGATCACCGCTCGATAGCGCGGCCGGTGGCGGCCGCCACTCGTATTATTATTATTATTATTATTATTATGTTTAAACGAGAACCGTTTACCGTATAACGATATTATGATAATCGACGGTATCGTCTCGGAATTAAGAAGTCTACATAATGTACGTATATATAGTAAACGTGCGCTAACGGTCACCTGCCGCCGCTGTTGCTGTGCACTTCTCCTATCGTAAAATACGTAGTCAATATTGTTATATTATCGTATTCAAAATGAAAATAAAGATCGTCGATCTAGTCCGAACATGATCCGATCGCTATCGGACATCCGTTGAACATAACTCGTGGCGCTCGAACATTTCGTTTTGTTTCTTATTTTTTTGTGTAAATAACCCGTTACGGTCATCGTAAAAAAAGGATAAAACAGTTAGTTAATTTTTGTGATTGCGGGGACCTAATTTTTGATAAAACATTTTTATGCGATAAACGTTTAATCACTACCTACCATTGCACCAGTAGACAGTAAACAGTCGAACGATTTCAAAAACTGGGTCCCAGGCATGGGCGCCCGCAGGAAATTTATCTTAACTTATCTTAACTTTTTTAAAGTTGAAGCTGGTATAAAAGTTGTTCACAGAAAAAAAGAAAGCGGTAATATATTTTCACTAATACCTAAGTTTCTTATATTTTCCTGTTTTTATTTTTTTCGGTTTTTCAATTTTTATGAGAATACTCTTGAGAAAATCGAAAAATGATCTCCCTAAAGTACCTCCCCACGCCTTTTATAAGAGGTGCTACACTTAGAAATCTGACCAAGTCTTTTGATAGAAAAGATGTTCACAGATAAAATAAAAAAAAATTTTTTTGTAAAACTAAAACCTTCTTCGCTCCACTCAGAATCCAAAATACAGCGATTAGCTTGGACATGTATACAACTTTTATTTTAGGGCTTACCATTTGTCTATGAAAAAATGATTTTACAATATATTATCATAGAGATCTATCTCCAGTATATTCTCGCAAACGGTTTTAAGCGTATAAAACGAATAGTCGAATTTGTATTCTTTAGTGTGTAATGTTTCCGCAGTTCCGGTATTGTTTTGTTGTCGTCGATGATTTTAGCGTTAAATGAACACTGTACGTGCAAAATAAATTTAATAACTGATTAATATCAAAACTAATGTTTTGTCTTAATTAAAATAATAATATCAAATATGCCGAAATGCGCCTTAAAAATATATTACAACTACGTTATATACGCGGTATACGTTTACTTAAAATTTTCCGGTGTTCAAACAAATCAACAATTCCGAAAACTGTAGTGTTAAGATTTCGTGCAGAAACTTGGAGTATTGATAATAAAAAAAAACGTTCTGGAAGGCCGCGAAGGTATACGTTCTGTATCGTAAATCGATGAGAAGCTGCGATATTTTCAACAGGTAGTTGAAAAACGTTTTTTTTTTTTAAGGAGAAAGTAATAAAAAGCTATTAGAAAAATTAGGTTTATTGTCAACAAATTTACTAATTTATAATCTAATGGAATATAAAACAAAAAAAAAACATACTTTTGCCCTGTTTTCCGTTCTAAAATTCGAACTTTTCTGAAAAATGTTGTGCTCTCAGATAAATATTTAATTACAACCAGATTTTTCCGGAAAAAAACCCTTTTTGTATTACTTTTTTTTTTTTTTAAGAGAATATCGTCATTTACTCATTATAATATGATCATCGCGCTACGGACGGACGGCCAATGCAATACTCGCATTACTACAGACGATGCGATGACGGAGCCCATTGATCCTGGCAGTGTTTGTTTCGGCCCTTTGAACCGACTTTGCCGTTTGTATACTTCCCGGTGCCCCAGAAGTTTCATTCAAACCGTGCGTATATTATTATTATATCGTTTACGAAATCCGTCTAATGCGTCGTTATTATCGGCCCGGTCACCGTTACGGGAATAATAATAATACGCTTAAACCGTCAAAGGGACTGCCATTATTGCCGACGACTATGTGACGTTCGTGTCTCGTCTTCTCCCTTTCTCTACAGCGTCCAAAATGGCACTCCCGGAGGGGTAGCTCATTAAACGACAACATCATCGTCGTCGTAGTATACCTTATTAGTTATTGTTTTAGCCACCTGGTTCACCTCGATGGTGGCGTGACCGTCGTCAAACAACAGTTCAAACGCTACGTACCAATGCTGTTTAAAAATTTACTGTGCGGGAAAAACGTTTCGGAAATCTGAGCAAAAAGCTTGGAAAACGATTTTCCTCAATATGCATATTTTATACTTGCAAGTACTTATACATAAGTTTTTAGTATTTTTCAGATTTTTGTGCGACAAATGAAATTCATAAAAATATTTGTTTGCCGAACAAATACTTGTGACATTTTATATCGGAGAAAATTATTGTAAAATCAAAAATATTATGATAATATTTTTAGATTATCGAACCGAGGTAAAAATGTGGAGAAATTCGTCCCAAAACACCGCTATCTTATCTATTAATTTATTCAACACTCGAAATCGTCAAATCCTATATAAAATATTTGACAGACACACAGAAATCAAGAGAATATTTTCAGAAGACCATTATTATATAAATATGTAAAACGGCATTCCAGACCGTTTGAAAATATATATTGTATATTGTATTTATGCTAAGGTGACTCTCTCAGAAATATGTGCAAATCACATAAACATTTCAAAGTATATTGCGAATGTCAAAATAGCTAGCAAGCTGTAGAAACAATACAAAATCGGTTTCTGAGAAGTTAGTATCATTTAAATGTAACGTCTTACGGCAACGTCACTCCTCTTACTAGTCATTGTTGACATATTTAAACCTTGAATCGATGGAAACAAGACGAACAAGAATAGATCTCTGTTTCATATTTAAATTGCTTAATTGAAACATTTATTGTCCCAATCTATTTGCCAATTTAAATTTTTCTATTCTTGGGCGTAGCACCAGACAATCAAATACCTTGTGTATGCCATTTCAGTCCACGGACTGCAGTCAAAATGCTCCCGTATATAAATGTATGTTATTAGTAAATAAGTATATTAATTAAATATAAATAGTATTCATCTTTTTCCATGTCTAGCTATAAATGTTTTTAATACATATCTAAATTGTTTACATCTCTAAACTAAAAACAATAATGCTGTGCATTAGATTTATCGCATATGACGTATATTGTGTCGATATTTTTTCTATGTGTAAATAACTATTATAATATTCAATACGTATTTAATTTATTAGTTTCATAAACTGTAACAACTATAATTTTCTGTGATATCTGTATACTCTAAATACATTTATATCGTGATTGGTCTAAATAATAAACCATAGTAATAAATCTGACACCGCATATACGATTTGTGTCGAAATGTAATCAGGTGCAGTCTATACCCCTAGGAGTCTTCCTTTTTTCGCCGTGTTTATTTATGCATACCATTTTAACATCACGCTACGTGAGGAGTAAGTATAGTTATAGTTACACGTTATATTATATTTTCATTTCAATAACTATTAAGTTTTTTTACACAACATAATGTTGGAAATTTAGGAAATTTAGGTAATGACTAGGCGATGTCAGTATTAACCGTGCAAACTATAGTCATTGTGGACAATCGGTGTACATATCAGATATTGAATAATACGTTTGGTCGTTGTCATTTATCAGTATTTCCTAAGCTGGCTATCGGTTTATCGAGAATTATTGGTTTGTGTGTATATACCTGTGTCGTTATAAATCATAATAATTATAAATAATGCGCTTAGCCAATATACGTGAACAATTTAATACAAATATTGATTCTTTGTTAATTACAAAAACGTGAATAATAAATTTATTGAGAGTCTAGGACTCCGAAAGACGATAGAAGAAGTAAGAAATACATATAAAATTGAAAAAGTTGATACTGCTGATGGGTACGTTACTGTTTTAGAAAGAAACATTGGAACAGATAATAATATATAATCATACCATCTGTCCTGCATAGTTTTGTCTATAGTGCTCAATGAAAAAATAAACAAAAAAATTAAAAAAATTGAAACGTGCCTTTCCGTGCCCCTTGTTGAAAAATAGTGAATGTCAAAATAAATTATATACTGGTCCAATGTCATTAATATTATCGTTACGAAATCTATTTTGATCAACAACAATAAACAATAAAGTATTATTGTAACCATAACGACGAAAGGTATCGGGCAGCACGAAAGGACGACGCGGGTATACTGTTCTATACTTCTGTTAATAATAACCGAAACAGATAACACAACTATCTAGTTTCTTAGAAAATATTTGTATCCAATAGAGTGTACGGAAAAGTCAATACAAATAATCAAGAGAAATATGTGTTACATAAAGTAACGCATAAATCAACAAAAATACCGAAAACCTTTTGTGATCCAACACTTTAGGGGTTCGATTTACTTTTTAAAAGTAGCTTGTGTCCTTTCTCGTGGTTCGCGATTTTTCCATACCGAATTTAATTAAATCGGTTTATCCGTTTAGCCATGAAAACGTAACTCACATATTTATTTGAACAGATTATTTTAAGTGATTAAGTAATATTACACTGGTCAAAATAATCGTGTCGAAAATAACCAAGTAATACGTAAAAGATAAAAAAAATGATAACTGTGGGCTTTGGAAGCTAGACATACACCACCATGGACTTTTCTGCAGTTATTTTTAAAATGTACAATTCCAAAGTATATTATTTTGATGGATCTCATAAGTTATAATTTTTAACCAGTGTTAAAAATGTCAGTGCCCAAAAATTATTTATTTAACTCTTACGATTTGATTACAAGACATCGACATTTCTCTACTTTCTATAAATACATCATGAATGCGTTTTAAAGATAAACCTTCAAGAGGAATTCTCTGAATGATAGTGAAAAGCTTTTCAAAACCGGTTGTCAGTAATTTAGAAGAACCAAGCGCACAAAAAAAAGACTCGTGGATAGCGAATTTGGTTTATATTATTTAGAAATACATAGTAATTTTATTAATATCTGTTCGTAACGTTAAACCGTTGCTAACGAATAACAATTCTGTAGATTTTACCTTGTTGGTGAGATAACTCAGAGATCAATACCAATTTCACAAATAATTGCCAGTTGTTCCTATTTTATTTAGAAAATAACTACAAGGAAAATTAAAAAAAAAAAAAATAGCTCTCCAACAACGCACCAAGTAAATATACAATTCTATAAGAAAGTTTCTATTCAATTTTGTTTGGAATGAAATTTCTGGTACAAACGTTGTTCACAGGCACAAAAACACAAACAAAAAATCATACTGTTTTGATAATATTATCTTGAAATTAATTGAATTAAAAATTCGAAGTGCCTCTCCGAGTGAATGCAAATATTTATTTCGATGCTAAAGTAAAAATGCAATACATTTTTTGACATATACACGCCGGTGTGTACAATAATAATAATTTTGTAAAAAGAACCCACGATCGTATTCAGTTTTCTGTTCTCGTTGAAACGCGGTAGTCTGGTTGAAAAAATAACGTTCCAATAATCCAATTTCGCGCTGCGGAAAAAAAAACGAGTTTACATTATCTTGTTTTCTGTATTTTTCTGACAGAATGCGTCGAAATAGCACACATACGCATAGTGTACAACACAAAAGGTAATATTTTTTTTGTTTGGACGAAAAGAACGAAGGAAACGTCAGAAATGTTTAAAAAAAGAAAATAAGGAAAATCCGAGAAACATATTTCCCTAACACAATATTGCGTTATATACTTTGTTGTTGGATTTCTTTCCTTTTTCGTTTTTTTTTTTTATGTTTTTCACAAAAATTGGTTCATTTATGTTCTGTGCAGTTCTATCTGCCACCACTGCCGCCGGTTTTTTTTTTTTTTTTATAAGAATCGCTTAACAATAAACTCACTCGCGAGACATTGGCAAATGCTCGGCGCAGTTTGTTTTTGTTATTCCACTTCTTTATCGGGTATAATATTATACATTCGAAACGAAAACTTTTAATTTCCCAAGTAATAATATTTTTCCGGTCCGTTAGTTATCGTATATTATAACTTATATATAAATGAACCTGTCCTGTGAGTTCACGATATATTTTTGTTTGGTTTTTTTTTTTACGATAAAATTAATATTTCACATTTAAAATAGTTTTTCAAACTTTATATATTGGTGGCTGCAGCGCAGCATTTCCACGTATTTTATATATATATTTTTTTATTATTTTATGTATCACGTGGGCGTTATTATTTTCGATCTGTTAAACAATTATTTTCGGGATCATTGCGTTCGAGATTTTATTTACCGCGAGACAATTAATTTCAAAAAGTTTTTCAACGTCTCTACAATAATATGCGAACCGTATACCTATAGACTGTATAGCACGATAAATCGTGTAAAAAAAAAAACTATTAAACGTCCGGTCCAATATTATAAAAAAAAGTAAATAAAAATACGGTGGTACTTTCGATGAAATTCTTTCAGAAATAAAAATCAAAATAAATAAGCAACGCCGTAGAAAAAAAAAATACCTGGTGTTAAATTATGTTATTATTGTTTTTTTATTTTTTTTAATTTTCGGGATTTTTTGTCGGACATTTCTCGAGAGACTACTGCACACTATATAATCGTGTCTCTGTATCCCATATTTTGTTGTGCGCCATTTGACCACTGATTTTGGACATTTTAGGACTAAACTACACTAGAAAATTTCACCAACAGGATCGATACTACGAACTCAAATTCGCATAAAAGAGTTGTTTTACAGGCGGACTAAATTGATGAATATATGACGAGAGAATGGGGGTGGTTTATTTGTTTAGGATTTAAACGGATGACCCGAATAAAGTTGAAGGGACGAAACCTTGTAAGCGATAAGGTTAGGTTAGGTTAGGTATTGTACTCGTATAGGGATCGAGGTTGTGCATTTCGAGGGTTTCAACTTTAAAACTCCATCCCTATAATTTTCAAGTATTTCTTTTGGAATTTTAAGCATTGTTTTAGCTGTTAAATTTATCCTTGATGACAAAGAATGTCGAATTCCTGTAACTTTTGATTTTTTTTTTTCGTTGAAGATAGTTTGATTAAAATTTTTATGTATATTAATAAAGTCAAAAATATTATTATAATGTTATAATATAAATTAATATCATACTGATGATCAAAAAAAAAAAAAAAAAAATGAGACGCATGAACTTATAAACTCGCACAGTCACACACAGCCGTATAAGTACTCGTGCAGTACTGAATACGCGAATGATAATCCGGTCATTAGATATTAACGTGTCCGTATACTTCATAACACAGATTATGGTATAAATACGTGGTTGTGAAACACCGATTATTAAAACACAATCGAAAATCATGTTTTTTTTTTTTTTTTATCTAATAATCTAACACATGTCAGTATTTCTGGTGGTATCGAAAACTTCACCCGCGCCAAAGCATACCTGCTCTAACATATTATATAATAATAGTATATTATACTATATTAGTATTCATTGTTCTGCGACAAAGTATATTACTTAGCACGAAATAGACGGGAGAAATTGCGTTCTAGTGTCCGTCTAACAAGAGACAAATAGTTGGCTCGTGAGTGGATTTTTTTACCGATCGATAAAGTCCCTGTTATAAAAGATGACGGTTTTCCAATATGTGCATTTACTTTCGAACACTTTTAAAAAAGGGAATACTGACGTCTTTTATTCTACTGTAAAAATTGTTCTCGAACTTAAATAAGAAGTATAATTGTCACTATAGAAAAAGAGAACTTGCACTATGCAATGTTTTATATACAATATATATTGTATATATATATGTGTATATGCATTTTTTTTTTTTTTTGTATATATACAAAAATATAAAAACTTATTATTGTTTGAAATTCTGATAGTTTTAATTTATTCAAACTCGAATAACTTTTTTTATAACAATGATATTGACAAACAAAAACCAACATTGCGCATTGAAAGTTTGAATGGAAATTTTGGTTGGTTAGCCAGAGTAGATTTTGTCCGTACAAAATAAATTTTATTATTTTTTTTTATTTCATGATTAAATAATAAACACTTGTGATCATTATACGAGGATTGCTTGTAACTGTATTTGAATGTAGATTTGAATGCATTTAATTTGGAGAAAATCAACTTCAATAGGTACGATAAATAATCATATACATTTTTTTTTCCAATTTCGGTAGAGTATATAAAAAAAAAAAAACATATATTATTAAATTTATCTAAAGAGGAGCTGAGTGTTTCGTTCCAATTTAGAGTGTTTTTTTATTT